GGTTTGCGTTGTCATGCCGTGGCTGGAATGGTGTCCGGATCCTCAACAACCAGATGCCCAGTGGGTCAAGATCTTTCATCCGGGATCATGGACTCCACATGAAGAACATGATGCTCCACCTCCACCGCACACGTATAGAGAGTGGAAGGAGTTCTATGCTCCCAACCCGGACCAAGACGGTGAGCAGCTCAATGTCACCATGTGGTACAAAAGAGACTGGGCCACAGAGGGCTATCGGAGAGTCGCTGCCCCTCAAGCTGGTCATGACTTTGATTCTATGTCTTTTCCTGATCATCACAGCGTGGCCACGCAATCCGCGGCATTGAGTATGTCACCGCAGATGTTAGAAGCGATCCTTAGATCCTCGGATGCGGCGGATTTCTCTACCGAAGAACTGACTCGTCTCCAAGAGGGGATTTCTCAACAACTGACAGCTCGCGCACGTCACGCTTCCCAACTTCATCAACCTGTTCGTGCATCACGTGGAATCACACCATCGGAGACGGTTGGGGTCTCCGAACCATACCGGCCTGTTAATCCTTCCGACAGCTGCAAAGCCAAGGCGAGACCTATCTTCGAGCTAAATGAGGACTAGACGCACGCGAGTGGGGTAGCGTACAAAATAAGGGTGGTTTTCACACTTGCATTACCTTGCTTGGTTGTTGCTTGTACAGGGTTGTGCATGGTGCCTGTTCCTCTATCAGCTGGATCTGAGCCCGCGATACGCCTTGCCTCTTCCTTCGACATGGACATCGAGGATTCGAAGCAGCAATCATGGCTCGAATACTCGGTCTGGCAGGATCAGGAGTGGGTGCGGATCTACACTGCAGGACAGCCTCAGCGATGGCACCACGGAGAAACTGTACCTGATCTACCAGACAATTCTTTTCGGGAATGGCAGCGGGTGACTGATCCCAATGGGCGCACTGGTGAGCACGGTCAGGCATGGACCATCCGCGACTGGCAGCATCAGGGATACCAGCGCATTCTGTGTCGAATGGAGTCCTTCACAACTCATCATTCGCATGATCAATCTCTTGGTGAAGTTCGGAATTCCGATGCCATTCCAGTTGAGGAGACGTTCACCTATGCTACTCCGTTTTCTCATGGTGATCGCTCGACTCTATGGCGACACTCGTAATGCTCAACGTGGTGATCTCTCGTTCCCGTCTTCTGAGCGGTTTAGGGCTGTTTCTCGTTCCCCTCGCCGCGGTGGATTTTTTGGTCAACGATAGGGACACGGGGTTGAGCATGTGATCTTCCTGCGGAAAAGGAGACTCCTCGCCCCTCATTGAGGGGCGTGTGTGTGCGGAGTGACAGAATGCCCTGTCACCACCCTTTCGGTTTCTCAGCAGGGGGCCAGCGGCCATCAAGCAAACGCTGGCCAACGAAGCTATGCTTGATGGTGGATGCACGGATTGATCACCCGTGTGTACCTGCAACATTTGCGTGATTCTGAATGTCTATTTGGCCCCTTGGTTGCGGCGCTGTGTGTGCTTCATGTTGGAACTGGTAACGTTTTCGACACTAGAGTGAAACCGAGTGCATTGCGAGCCGAACCCACACCCACTCGAGACTCATCGGTTGTACTCGAGACTCATCAGTTGTACTCGAAAGATTAGCACTCTCCATCTGGAGTTTAAGTGTGTGTGCTTGTGTGCGCGCGCTTGTTTCTGTGTGTGTGTGTGTGTGTGAAACCCCTGTTAGCTAAGGGATCTGTCACTGCTTGTTGTGCTTCTGATGACACGCCGAGCTTTGATCCGGCCCCGAGATGCAAGTACCATGCAGCGGCCAGACTCGGCGTTTGATGAGTATGTTTTGCTGCTGCATGGGCACGCACTGGGAAGGAGACCAACGAAACTCCACGTTGGCTTTTCTGCTTTTTTGTGTTTGCTCGGCGTGTGTATTTCTTCCACCTCCCGTCGGGGATCAGTTTGGTCCAAAGGCAACATGTTGTTGGCCGGTAGCTTTACCTTGCCCGGCTAGGGCCCGCAAGGTTAAGGAACACAACATGTTCCTACAAGTGTGTGTGTGTGTGTGTTGTGTGTGTGTGTGTCAGTCAGTGTCTGTGTCTGTGTCTGTGTCTGTGTCTGTGTCTGTGTCCGAGACCGTGTCCTTGTCCGCGTCCGTGTCTGTGGGTGTGGGTGTGTGTACGCGTATGCGGGCTGGCATGTGGGCGTGCAGGCGTGCGCGTGTGCGCGTGTGCGCGTGTGCGCGTGTATGTCCCTTTGCTGAGAGAAAAGGCGTGTTCACACTTTCTAATCAAAGGTCCCTTTAATTCCAATATTTCTTGAGACACTCTTGAGAATTTCAAGTGTCTTGGGAGGCAGCGGGAACCTCATCATCCCATCCGTAACCTGCGCCAGCGACGTCGGGCCGCCCGTTTCGACACGCAGGGGGCTCTGGGGGCCGCTAGAAGGGTTTTTTTGCCCTTGAACAAGAAGAAGCGCCGCGAGAAAGGTGTTTTTTTGAGGGAGCCCCCTTTTTTGGTGACCAACATGGAAACCACGATTCTGGCGAATCCCCTAAAAAGGCACCCATGTTTGTTGTGGTTTTGTTGTAAGCATTGTCGGCACGTTTTTTGTGTCCCAGTGCGTGGATGACCTTTTGGCTGAATCCCAAGCCATCTTTGAGGCCTTGGGGCTTTTTGAAGAGGACCATCAGGTGTCCCTGAATTGGTGGTTTGGGACTTTGACCCCCTTGTAGAGGGTAAATGGGGTGAACCCCACCCGGAAAACCAAACCGGCCTCCAAACCACGAATTGGTGGGAAGGCTGACGCTTGTGTTGGGTATGTTGAGGTCCGACGCATGCATGGCCATGCCTTACTGGACAACCGTTGCTGGCTGCAAGACCTTGTGATACTTGATTTGAGCTACGGCCCAACTGCCTTCCACTTGACCATACTTTCACCATTGCCCTCATGTTGAGAGTGTCAGGACACTGTAAAGGAATCCCCTTGTTTCCTTTATGCTGAGCTACAGCACATTGGAAACATGTCAGTTTAGCAATTGTCAGCGCAGGCCTCATCATGGATTCTGCTTCACGTGGGTGTTTCAAAAATTTGACGATTTCTAAAAATATTCTCAGCAGAAGTATCTCATTGGATCGGTTCTGTATTCCTTGGTGAAAGGTAGTCAGATGAACACGAGCATGTCTTCTTTGTAGGGGACCCCCGGAATACATGGGTGGGTTTTCCTCTTGGTTTCTGTACCCTCCAAAACAACACTCCCCCATTCTCTGGCCAGGCTGGCCAAAAGCACTAATCAAAGCCTTTTTGCAAGCACCAAACTTGACAGAGGACCAAACGAATGTTTTGACGATTCCCCCTTTTTGGTTGGTTTTTTCGGGACACCAAAGGGGTGCGCCCCACACAGTTTTGGGGCCAGCCCAAGAGGAAGCCCTGGAATCGGTGCTGAGGCGTGCAAGCTGCACCGCCGCTTCAATAGTTCTGCCTCCCGCGCCAACGGGGGGCCGTTTCGTCCGAACAATGTACGTTGGGGCATGGGTCAGGGTCCCCCAATTTGTTGGTTGCCTTTAGAGGAATGTACTGTAAAAGGAACACCACGGGGACACAGCCTGGTGAAGTCTTTGAATGGCAAAGAAAAACACAAAGAATTGGAGCAGCTGTGCGTTCAGGACTCCCTCCGAAATTGTAGAAAGCTTGTGGTACCTGGCGCGAACCAAACCTGCATGTGTTTGTATATTTATAGACGCATATGCACGCCTGAGTTGGTAGATGTATATGTATATAGATATGCCAGATACAGGGTATGAATACGTGTATATATATATATTATATATATGGCAGTGAATTCTTTTGAGGGGTCTGTAACAGAGCCGCGGCGGACATTCGTTGCAGACCTCGTTACAGACCTCTGTAACAAGACCAGCTGGCTCGTTACACACCCCTCGTTACACACCCCTCGTGGCACACCCTCGTTACACACCCTCGTTACACACCCTCGTTACACACCTCAGACGAATAAACCGGGCCAGTGACATGACTGCCTTCTTTTTGCCGCAGCCTGGCTTGTGTTGAATAGCTGCAGTCAAGCTGGAGCTGCGGAGGCGCTTTGCGTACTGTGCTTTGCTTTGTCTCGTTACAGACCTCGTTACCTAGCCGTTACATACCTCGTTACAGACCCAACCCCAGCCCGGGCCAGCGACCCTGCTTTTTGCTGCAGCTTTGCTTGCGTTGAATAGAGCTGCGGAGGCGTGCTTTGCGTGCTGCGCTTTGCGTGCTGCGCTTTGCTTTGCCTTGTTACAGACCTCGTTACATAGTCGTTACATACCTTGTTACAGACCCAACCCCAGCCCGGGCCAGCGCCCCCCCTTTTTGCCGCAGCTTGGCTTGCGTTGAATAATTGGTGCTGCGGAGGCGCGCTTTGCGTACTGCGCTTTGCTTTGCCTTGTTACAGACCTTGTTACGCAGCCGTTACATACCTCGTTACAGACCCAACCCCAGCCCGGGCTAGCGCTCCCCCTTTTTGCCGCAGCTTGGCGCGCTTTGCGTACTGCGCTTTGCTTTGCCTCGTTACAGACCTGGTTACATAGCCGTCACACACCTCGTTACAGACCCAACCCCAGCCCGGGCCAGCGAGCGACCCTGCTTTTTGCCGCAACTTGGCTTGCGTTGATGCGCTCCTGATTCTGCTTGTCAGGATTTTTTCCCCGTTACAGACCTGCGTAGCAAGGACCTCCGTTACAGACCTCCGTAACAAGATTCGTGCCGCGTCGCGCGTTACAGACCCCTTAAAAAAATCATAGCCATATATATACATACATGCACAACATATCCACGTACCAGTGTTTTGCTGACCTGCAGTGACAAAAGTTCCTCATGGCCAGGTTGCACATCATCAAAAGTTGGCTCAGCGACACGGTGTCGCCGATCGCGGGAACGCAAGAAAGACATCGGCAACAGGGGTTTTAAAGGAACGTGGACGTGGGGAACCATTTGGTTTCCACAGGGACCAGGCAAACCACGACCGATGTTTCCCTATAGGAGACATAGAGATCCTGAGCCCTCCGTCGCAATGGTCACCAAGTGCCACCTGAAGCTCGGCCGCTGCCGTTCCCAGGATTTTGGTGGGTTGGATTTGGATTTGAACCCCAGCCTTTTTTGAAACGGCATGGGGAAGGTATCCCTTTAAGGTCCGGATAGTAGACTTAGCACCCTGAAGAAGGTTGTTTGAAAATCGGCGGCACATGTGCAGCAAGAGGTGGGATATGGCAAGCCTAAGGTTTCAGCATGTTGACGCCTTTCTCATTCTCATTTTCTGATGGTTTCACGTTCAAAGGGTCCATGCGTCCATGGTCTCTTCTTCCTGCAACCAGTTGTTCTTCCCACCAGCCCGCTAAATCTGTGCGGACGTTCATCAACATGTTGAAATCTGTACTTCTTTGTCAGGGCGCCCACATCTCCCTTTTAAACATCGCCTCATCCAAGGGAACCTCACTTCAAAAGCCGACAAGGTGATGGATTTCACCGACTCACTGACTCACTGACTCACTGACTCACTGACTCACTGACTCACTGACTCACTGACTCAAGCCACCAAAAAATTGGAAGTGCAGGGCGGCTGTTTGTCGCCAGCCCTTTGGCTCGCGGCTCGAATAGGAGCCACTGGTGCCGAAGGACCTCTGGAGCTCCCTGCCCCTGTGGATCGCCCTGCATGCGGAAAGGGGGAAGATGCCCAAGTGCTGGGAGGCCTCGCTCGGCAATTTTTTTGGCGGCTTTTTCTGGTCGGAGCCAGACCCACTTTTCGGTAGGGAAGCCCAAGGCAGAGAAAAGCCGAACACCCGTGTTCTCCGCTTTGAGGCGGAAACGAAACCCGTAGCTTGAAAGAACCAGAGCTGGTTGCTTGAAAGATTGGTGGGGGTAGCAAGTCGCTTGCATTGTCAGGGGCACCGCCTCTACGCTGAGAAGGCGAGCAGGGCCCATCCGGCGCCTTGGAGCTGCACGGGGGATGGTTTTGGACCCAACAGTCATGGATTTGGATGTGAAGGACTGGTGGTGTTGTTTTTTGTTGGGTTTCCCGGCCCAAAGCTCACCACCAGTTGGGAAGCTGAGAGGTGAGGGTTGCTCCTGCCATGATCCCCTTAGATGGCCCCTTCTGTGTGGTCTCCCATTTGAAACCAACAGGGGGTCCAGTTCGAAAAAGCCTCGTGCAGGTTTGCTCCAATAGGGGAAAGCGGCCGAAAGACCAAACGGAGCTGGGAGGGCTTGGCCCAGTGCAGTCTTACCCCTTTGGGTTTAAAGGGAAACCACCAGGGAACCTCTGGGTGTTTCCCTTACCACCCGGAAAACCCGTGAAGCGCCATTTTGCCCCGGTCCCCTTGCTCCAAAAAGACGAGCCGCCCGCCCGCACGGCGAAGCAGCCCTAAGGAGTGCACCTACTGCCAGAAGGTTGGCCGCGGCTCTGTGCTGATTTGCCGCTCGGAGGCCTTTTTTGGGGGGGAACACCCTCTGTCCTCCTCTTGTTGAATTTGGGTTGCCTGCCAATTTTCGTCGTTTGCCTTGTTGGGGCTCAGCCACTTGCGGAGCGCTTTGGGACACGCCGCTCCTGCCTGTCGGCCGCAAAGCGGCTGCAGTGGCTCGCCGCCCTGAGGCGCTCTTGCTGTCTCCATGGCGGTCCGCGCGTGCCGCGGGTGGCATGACGCATGCCCCATGCACCAAGCGTCTCCGGCCTTCGAGCAGCCTCCGGTGGCCAAGGCTTTCTGCGGACTCGTTGATCCAGGACTCCTTGCCCTGTTTGACGGGCAGCGCCCGGCCAAAGGTTTGTGTGTGACTTTGTGGTCCGCTTCCCACCCCGGCCCCCGGCCCTTTGCTTTGCCTGTTACGCCGACTGCACTTTTGGAGCGCGGGGGTGAGGTGCAGAGGGCCGAGCTTTCCGAAACGGGGCCTGGTCCTGGCTACAGCTTGAGGGTTGCTCTGTCGCCGTCCTTGCGCGAGTTTCTTGGATTCTTCGTCTTTTTGATTTTTGGTGCTGTGGTTGCGTGACTGGATCACCGTGTGGCTGCCATCCCCCCTTGGAAGTCTCTCGCGCCAGCCGACGTACGAGCGGCTGCTTGGCGCAAAACTTCGACGTTTGCGCCCCCGTGGCGTGCCTCATGCGTCACATCGACTGGCGTCGCGGAGGCTGGGGCCTCCTGATACTGCTTTGTGGATGTCCCTCCCACCGAACGTGGAACCCAAGCCTCCGTTTGGGTGGAAAGGGATCCTCCAGACACGCCCAGTCAGGCTCCATGTTCTGGACAGAATTGACTATCTCACCGGGTAGTGCGAGCTCGCCCATGAAAGTTCCTTTTCAGGGTTGCCCCATTTCAGACCTGGCAATCACAGGAAATTGCCCAGTTTGCAAGGAAACCGCTAGGAACCTCGCATTTGGAGGAGACTTTGATGTAGCCATCTCTCTCACTCTCAGAGTCAGTTTCGAGTTGGACTTCTTCCACAACTTTCATCAATTTCACAGTTTTCGATCTTCTCCTGAAACGAGTTGGATTTTTTCCACTAGGTGGATCAATAGAAAGTGTTCGACCTTTTCCTGAAACTTGGTACCTCGGATTCTCCCTCTCCCACATTTGTTTTCCCAATTCTTTGCGAGGGATTCTTCGCACCGATCGCCGCCTCAGGCCGCAAGTGTCCCTGGTGGCTGATCTGCAGCTCCTGCGCACGGCGTCCTCGGCTGCCTCCGTTGCAGCCCCTTGGCCGCCCTAAAAACGGGTCCTCCTTGTTCGGCGCTTCTTGGTGGTGATATGGTTGGCAGAAGTCGGTTTTTGGTGTGGGTTTGCTTGTGCTTTGGTTGTTGCCTTGGCTGGCGACCTGTTTTGTTGCTATTTGAGGCTGTTGTGCGTTGCAGTCCTTCCTGGTCCAGCATCCTACGCGTGCCTGCCTGCCTGCCTGCCTGCCTGCCTGCCTGCCTGCCTGCCTGCCTGCCTGCCTGCCTGCCTGCGTGCGTGCGTGCGTGCGTGGGTGCGTGGGTGTGTGTGTGTGTTTCTGTGTTCGTGCACGTGTGACACTCAAGTTCCGGGCCTAATGCCGGTTAGTGAAGATTCGAGGAAGTTTGGTGGCCGTCACAAACCATAAAGAGGTGCGGCCAGACGCCCGTTCAATTCTTACATGGGTAGACCCCTTCAGTACCATGAGTATTCCAGCTGCTAATGTCGTGTTCTTTTCAGCCATCCTTCTTTGAAGAGTTTAGCCAACGCCTGGGGTTATATCCTAGCCATGCCCCTCCCCGATTTCTGGCTGGCTGTCTTGTGTGTTCCACGGGCAAAAATTCTCGGGTTTGGATCCCGAATTGGAATGCAAAGGGACCCCTTTCGGCTCCTTGACAAGCTAAACGGCACGGCTGTGGCTGAAAAGAATTGGATCCCGAAATGGCACCTTGAAGGTTTTCAAACCCCATAAATTTTGTGCCACTGCCAAATGGGTACCCCCCCTCCCCTTATGTAAGGAAATCACCCCACACCCATATGTCATTGTTGTGTCGAGGTGCGACCCCCTGTTCTTCGGCCCCAGCACACCCCGGCTACTGCCCGCGCTCACAGAGAGCTCGCAGCTTTCGACGCGCGGCAGTGTGGTGATTTGCCCTGGGGGCAACTACCAGTGCCTTGGCCAAGAATAGATATGTATACTGTGCTCTATGTATATATATATATACACATGTATACGTATACACACATCAAAACATTTATAATACATATATATATATATACAGATGGTACCCCCCCTGGAGCCTAGGTTTTGCCTGATTTCAGGCATTTCCTAACTCCTTTTGTTGAAGATAAGTTGGAGTTTGCCCGAAACTATACCTATATTCTCATGTAGCTCGAATTCGGAAAGGATCTGTTTATATAAGCCGTAGTTGAGCAATGTTGAGCATACACACAATTTTGAAAACTATATCCTGACCGATTTATATTAACAATTCCAATTCTAGCTGAAGTAAACTCCTATTTGGAAAGGGTATCAGATTGGGACATGTCGGATCTTGCCATGATGGACTGCAAGCCCACTCGTCTGTGCTTAAAATCTATTGCAAAAAATCTAAACTCTACAGCCTGCGCGCTGAAATCAAGCAAAACCTAGGCCCAGGGGGGGGGGGGGGGGGGCGTAGCATATATATATATATATATATGTACGGGTGCGTCTTTTTTGTAGGGGGACTTCCCCTAGATGGTGGTTTTCCTTTTGGTTCCCTTCCACCCAAAAGTACCCTCAAAAAGACACGCCCATATGAGTTTATATATATATATATACTGAATTTAGTTAAAAGTACATAGATCCGGCCTCAATTTGGTTCCAATCATCTACCAGTGCCAGATATATATATATATATATATATCCGTAGCCTGGGGCTACGGAGGTGACGGAAAAAGGGTTGCTCAAAGCCACGTGGGATGGACATCGGAAAGCATTGCCCAGTGGCCTACCACGAAATCATGCGACACCGTTCCGCTGATGTATGTATGTATGTATGTATGTATGTATGTATGTATGTATGTATGTATGTATGTATGTATGTATGTATGTATGTAATGTATGTAATGTATGTATGTATGTATGTATGTATGTATGTATGTATGTATGTAATGTAATGTATGTATGTATGTATGTATGTATGTAATGTGTATGTATGTATGTATGTATGTATGTATGTATGTAATGTATGTATGTATGTATGTATGTATGTATGTATGTATGTATGTATGTATGTATGTATGTATGTATGTATGTATGTATGTATGTAATGTAATGTAATGTATGTATGTATGTATGTATGTATGTATGTATGTATGTATGTATGTATGTATGTATGTAATGTATGTATGTATGTATGTATGTATGTATGTATGTATGTATGTATGTATATGTATGTATGTATGTATGTATGTAATGTAATGTATGTATGTATGTATGTATGTATGTATGTAATGTATGTATGTATGTATGTATGTATGTATGTATGTATGTATGTATGTATGTAATGTATG